GTTGGAATTAAAAATGCCCTGGCTCAGTGGTAGAGAGCTCGCCTAGCATGCACGAGGCACTGAGTTTGATCCTCAGCACCACATAATTGTAAAATAAAGATATTGTGTCCACATAAAACTTAAAAATAAATATTAAAAAACCCCCAAATTTTATTACAATTTAGTATTTACAAAAGGTGTACATTTACTGAGGGTTTACTGTTAATATTTTAGAATTATTTTCCCAAGCAGGGTTTATAATCATGTGTCTAGAACTGGCTACACAAATTTAGAATTCATTAGAGGACTAGTTTTTCATAGATTATGTGGCATTAATTATTGTTTTTGAATTAAGTAATGGTAGAAAGGGACAAATGGGAGAACTGGTAGCATCTACATGGGTAATTTTTGAAAATTAGATGCACATTTGTCAAAGAAACCACTATGTGAGTGTGGCTTTCTGGTTATAAAGGTACCGGGAGTGATTCTTGAGTTACAGTGGTTTCACTTAACCATTTTCAACTTTACAATGGTGTGAAAATGATTTGTAGTCTATAAAGACTAGATTTGGAGTTTTGAAATTTGATCTTGGGCTATTGATAGTGGTAAGATGCTTGTGATGCTAGGCAGTGATAGTGAGCCACAGCTTCCAGTCAGCCAACAGATCTTGAGGGGAAACAACTAAGGCTGTTCACATATTTGGTAGGTTACCTATGTTAAATGCATTTCAACGTACAATGGGTTTGTCATGACAACCCATCACTGATCGAGAAGCATCTGTGGATACTGATCACATTCCTCATAGCTGGTTTTATATATATAGTTTCTCATAATTATGGAGTAATGCTCTAAAATTAGAGCTTGTTAATCTGACTAGTTGTCAAGTCTGAATTATAGCTGTACTCCTGACAGGCTAAAATCTTGGAAAAGGATAGCAGTTACAACACATTTTCCTTTTTTTTAAAGCAAAATAAGCTAAATGGTTTTTTTTCTTTTTCATTTCAGAGTTTTTCTTTAAATAACAAGCTGTTTTTTCCTTTTTATAAACATTTTGATGCTTTTTGGTTATTTCCAGCATGCAAATGTTTAAATTAAACCCCAAATTTTCTAACAGTAAAGATCTTTATAAACAGGAAGATTTTTATTATGATACTTTTTACCTGGCAACATGGTATAATAGAGGGCTTTGATTCAAAACCTTTGACAGAGTACAACTGGGGGGATTTTTCTGATATAAAACAAAGGCTCACAATCATCCCTTCCAAAGTTGAACAGAATTAACCTTATTTTTCAAGTAAACAGACATTTACTACTCTCAAATTTTAGAAGGGATTGATATCAAAGATAGGAATTGCTTCTTTCCACCAGCCTTTCAAGTCGTTATGCATTTATGCCAGTTTACTTAACCCCATGTATACTTCTTAAATTCCTGTAATCGTTTGATGTCTGAGACCAAATCTTGAATTTCAAGAATAAAACAGTGATGTTTATGAAAGCTGTTCAACTAAGGTCTTCTGACTGCTCTTTAGCTAATTTAGAATACCCATTATGAACATTCCATTTTTTAAAACTGTGTTAAACTCAAAATAATTGGGATAGATGGATAGATGGATAGATATGTGATAAGGCAAGTGTAGTTTACTGTTACAGAATTTAGATAGTGGATATATGGGTGTTGACCATAAAATTCCCACTGAAGCATTTTATAATAAAATATTGAAGAAAACAAAATTGGAGAAAACTAAGGCTGCTTTACCTAGTTACTCCACTATTATAATTCTACAGTTCATTTACAATAGCATGCAGTACAAATCATCTTTTGAGTTTGTAAACTCCCAATCTCCTTAATGTTTTTCTTTGCACTTTCAAGTATGTTGGTTAGTTGGTTATGTCTAAAACAATAGAACAACTCTAGCCAATGGCTGAAATACCAAAGCTATTAAGAACATTAAGACAAATTAGAGAAAGATTAGAAAAAGTATTAGTTTTTTAAAATGTGACAGATGATATTTAATGTTGATAAGCATTAATGCTTGAAGAACCTTTGAGGGAGTATAAAGATATAGATGGGGATTATAAACATTCTGAAAGGGATTTATAGTTTTCCATGGTTTGAGAGGAAAGCTAAAGATATTAAAGTGGAACTGAAAGCAGGGAAGAGATAAGAATATGGGTTTATGAGATGTACGTCTCTAAAGCAATAGTAGCACTTAAGTGACTAGAGGGCAAGGCAATGAGCAACATTTGATTGTTTCCTACTCTTTACGTCTTTGTTTTGTGAGATCCTGTCTCACTACATTGCCCAGACTGGACTTAAAATGATGTTAACTCCTGATGACTTCTACCTATGCCTCCTAAGTAGCAGGAATTAAAGGCACATGCCACTGCAATTGGCCAAACCAACAACAACAACAAAAAAATCAAACTTTTTTTTTTTTGCTGTGGTGGAAATCCAATCCAGGACCTCATGCATGCTGAGCAAATGCTGTACCGTAAGGTACACCCTCAGCTCATTAAAGCCTTTAATGCTGAATTAATACCATTAGAGCTAATGGAAAACTCCAAGTGTTGTTTGAAATTATTCCCTAAATGATGTGGTTCCATTTTCCATGATAGACATTCATGTAAAACCACAAACTTTTGGTCAAAATAAAGAGTGGGTATGGTGTTGTCATTAAAAAAAAAAAAAAAAAAGAGCACCAATTTGCTAGGTGTGGTAGTACATGCTTGGGGAGGTTAAGGCAGGAGGATCTCAAGTTCAAAGCCAGCCTCCCCAATTCGGCAAGGTTCTAAAGAATTTTTCAAGACCCTGTCTCTAAGTATAAAAATGGGCTGGGAATGTGGCTCCGGGTGTTCATCCTGGTACAAAAAAAAAAAAAAAAGCCAAATTGATCGTCACAAACAGTGCAAGAAATCTGCATATGTGCTGGTCACATGTTACTTTAGAATAAAAATTAACCCACCATGGTAAGTGACATTTAAAAGAATCCACTTTAATAGATTATATGGCAAGAGTAGGGAATCAAAAAAATACTGGAGGCTGGGGTTGTGGCTCAGTGGTAGAGTGCTCGCCTAGCATGCACGAGGTACTGTGTTTGATCCTCAGCACCACATAAATGTAAAATAATGAAATCAGTTTTTCTGTATCATTGAAAAAAAAAGATATTGTGTCCACCTAAAACTAATAAGTAAATATTAAAAAAAAATACTGAAAATGGTTAGTACACATATACACACATCTAAAATTGTAATGAAGCCAGCCATGGTGGTACACACCTGTCATCTCAGTGACTCAGGAGAAGGGAAGATGATCACAAGTTCAAGGCTAGCCTCAGCAATTTAGCAAGCCCCCGTATTAAAAAAACAAAAAGGGGGGCTGGGGATGTGGCTCAAGCGGTAGCACGCCCGCCTGGCATGCGTGCGGCCCAGGTTCGATCCTCAGCACCACATACAAACAAAGATGTTGTGTCTGCCGGAAAAAACTAAAATAAATAAATAAATATTAAAAAAAAAAAAAAAAAGTCCACAGGTTCCACTTTAAAAAAAAAAATAAATAAAAAAAAAAAATAAAACAAAAAGGATTGGGGATGTGGCTCAGTGGTTAAGTACCCCTGGGTTCAATTCCCAGGACCAAAATAAATAAATAAATAAAATTGTAATGAATAGACTAATAAATCATGAATATTAGTATTGCTAATTTATCTATTCCCCCCTCCCCCTTTGGTGCTGGTGACTGGACTCAGAGACACTCTACCATTGAGCCACACCTCCAGCCCTTTCTATTTTTTGAGACAGTGTCTTGTTAAATTGCTTAGGGACTCTCTTAGTTCCTGAGGCTGGCCTCAAATTTGTGATACTCCTGCCTCAGTTTCCTGAGTACCTGGGATTACAGGTGTGTGCCACCAGACCTGCCTAGAAATTGCAATTTTAATTAATAGTAGTTTATGAGGATTAAAAAATATTTCTAAATTTGTCTTCCTTTAAACTTTGGCCAATTTTGCCTCTGGCAATGGGATCAGAATAAAAGCAATTCTAATTTGTAATGCAGCCCCATACCTTAGAATAGATGTCTCAAGCAAACATTACAAATAAGTTCTGAAATTAATTAACATTGAAAAAATAACTTAGCATAGTGTCAAAATTAAATCCTAGGCTCCGAATAAAAACTTCAGCAAATTCCTCCATCATGGTAACAGCTACAAAATATCAGTTGCTTTTTAAAAATTATTTAGGCCTAATTCATTTGGAGAAAGGAAACAAACAGCTACAGTGGCCATCTTTATTTTCTTTGACCTTATTCTCTATGATCCTGAGAAAACAGTGGTAGGTAGTAATCCTGTACCAAACTTGACAAGTATCTAAGTAAATATATTTTCTCTAAAGGAACTGGTCACAGGTGTCTAAAATGAAGATGATTGTTAATAGAGAATCCCTAAGTATCTCTCTTAAATGTCCCAAGAAACAATTCTACAACATAATGAATGCTAGAATAAATATATTCCCATAAGATTTTCCAAGAAACCCGGCCATCAGTTGTCATGGAACCATTTTCATTGAAGGCATTTCCCTCTAAAATTATCTTAGTTGAGCTTCTGCAGAAGACTTTTCTGTTCCTAAAAGATGGCACAGTAGTCAGGAAGAGGCCTCTGGAGCTCAGCCTTTCCCTAGCTCTCCACTTAGAATGGCTATGTGCCCTTATAACTTAGCCTTTCTGTATCTCAGCTTTCTTCAATGCTATTTACCTTATAAGGTTGTTGTGATGATTTATAGATTAGTAGATAACTTAAAAATTTATACAGCAGTGCCAAGCACATAGTGAAGACTCAAAATAGTTTGAGCTCTTTATCACTCCACCTTTTCCATCAAACCAAATAGTATCTTCCTAACCAGTCTAGGGGATTACAATGGAAAACCAAGTTAAAGGTACACAAAAGAAATATGTTGGGGAATATTTCCTTATTAACCTTTTGCTAAGAGATAATGATTTATGAATGCAGAGTAAAGACAGTATAATCAATTCCTAGTTGTTATATATTTATTTATTTTTTGCAGTACTGAGGATCAAACCCAGGGCCTTGCAAGTGCTGAGCAGATGTTCTACCACTGAACTACATCCCCAGCCCCCTAGTTATTATTTAATATGACTGTATATGTTTGGATCCATTTAGAAAATATTTAAAATTACTATTAATATTTGTTTTCTTTTAAATTTTTTATAGTACCACATAATTTTATAACTTTTTATTACAGCTGAACACTTCAGAATTGTAGTTCTGAGATAAATAAATTTGGTATGATTAAATAGAGAAAAATCTACTCAGAAAGTACAATATACATAAATTTATGGTACTTGTCCAAATATTATTAGCATACAAATTATTTTGTTGTTTCTCACATATAGAATCTAAAATGCAAAGAAAAATGGAATTTCTATTCAAAAGAAATAGAAGCAAGACTGGCTCCTATATACTAAAAATATAAGGTCTTTTTCTTAACCACTCTAGATATAAGTATTAACTGTATGGGTTGATAACTTTTAGTTTCAGTAATATAATTCGATAAAGTATACAAGTAGACCTCTATAAATATACCCCCTATAATAATATGCAAAACCATTTTATTACAAAGCTACCAAAACCTTCTGAAAAACAAACTACAAACATAGTTTAAAAGAAATTTAGTTATAACAACTATAAAAGCAATTAATATCAACAAAGTTATTTGGCTTAAAAAATGAAGAGCAGTGTAATGTAAAATTTGAATATTATAATGCTGTGTTTTGAAGATGTAGTTTTGAGTTTTTTAATACAAGATACTAAATAAACATTCTTTCAAAAATAATGTTATTTTATATATTCTAGAATTTTGAGCTAGAGCTCTAAAAAGAAAAAAAAATTAAGCAGCAGATGAAAATAGGTATGTAGAAAGAATGGTATAAAATATGATTTTTTACAAAATGTAATACTCTTCATATGTGTAAGGCTCAATATGAATATTTTTGGATTGTGAGTGTTGCATACCATGATTTTAAAAAACAAGTAGTCTCAACTCAAAATATAGTATTTCTAAAATGTTTTCACAGTTTTGAAGTGAACATGGTATAGGATACATTTTCACATCAACTTTTTTATACTGTTTTCCTTTTTCCCAGTACTGGGGATCAAACCCAGTGGTGCTTTACCACCGAGCTATATCCCCAGCCCTTTTTATTTTTTGAGAGTCTTGTTAAATTGCCAAGGGTAGCTTGGAGTATGCAATCCTCCTGCTTCAGCCTCCCAAATAGCTGGGATTACAGGCATGTGCCACCATGCCTGGCATCTATATTATTCTATCCAACAATTAAAAATACTCTTTGAGCTCAGAGAAGACAATGTATCTTTTGAATGCTTGATCTTTATATAAATTCTGCTTATGGGGATTTCAGGCTGTTCTAATTTGAAATAGTACCTAAACTGACCTAATTTAGGAATTGACCTAAACTTGAACCAAAGACACAAGAGACACAGGTTTCAAAAAGTTTAAGTCTACTGTATGCAATTATATAGCCATAATTACTTTTTATATGAAAAGTGCTTTAGAGTAAAAAATGTTTTTGTAAAAGGTATTATTAATATTACTATATTTAATATCCAAGTGGAATTTTCTAAATTGCTTCCATTTTTACCCATTACCTTTGAAAAGTACCCTACTGCTACACTGTAAATAAAAAATGGTCCATAAAATGGTGACATTAGATAGCATAATTTTTGGTGTGGGCCCTTAAAGTGAGACCAAATCTTTATTATTCCAAAGCTACATTTTATTTCTTCACATGCCCAGAGTAACTAATATCAACTCACATTTTCTATAAGCCTTGAAGAATTTTTATTTAACATAATGAGAGGTTTAATAACTTATATTAAAGACTATGTAGTATTCTTCCATTGCTGTTCACCAACTGTTTTTATGACGATAACTCCGAGATCTGGAATGTGACCGAAAATGAGAATGTTTTGCTGCTTGTGCTTTAGTTTCAGAATTGGTATACCCTTTGGGAGATTTACATGGGGATCTTGCTATGGAGTCAGAATGTCTTCCATGTGATCTTGATTTTGTTCCTGAGCTAGTCTGCTTTTGAGGTGAACTTGATTGTGATTTTCCTATTGACTTGGACCTTTTTTGTAAGGACTTGGACCTTGACCGTCCTCTAGAACCAGAATTCCTTCTTGGAGTTCTTGACTGCCTTGCTGAGGTAGACCGCCTTGGTAATGATTTGGAACGAGATTTAGACTGGCTGTAAGAAAATCGCCTGTGTCGAGACCTGCAAACATCCATAAAGTTAGAGCACATATTCAGACAAAACAATAGATTAAGAAACAACACTTTCAGGAACTTATATGCTTTGCATAACGTTAATTATGTTTTTAATAGGTAAGCTACAAGACACAATTCTTTTTTACTTTTGTGATGTTAAGGACTGAACCCAAGGTGTTTTGCCTACTAGGCAAGTACTCTACCACTAAGCTATACCCCTAGTCCTAAAAAAAAAGTTCTAATTTTATTGTGCATGCTTTTGGTTTAAACACAAGTAATAAATTCATAATGTTTGTTACAGTAGAATATATGATTTTTACTTTGCTAGATACATCTTACAGATCAGTTTTGAAAAATATCCTGCATATTTAGTCAGGGTAAAACAACTCTTCAGAGGTATTAAAATCTGAAGGAAAAAAGATGAAAAATAGAAAAAAAGAACAATTATTAAAGTTTAACAAATAATGCTCATTAAAAACAAAACCTAGCTGGGCGTGCATGCCTGTAATCACAGTTATTCAGGAGGCTGAGGCAGGAAAATCATATATTTTAGGCAACCTAGGCAACTCAACAAGATTCTCTCTCAAAATAAAAATTTTAAAAAGGCCTGGGGATGTAGTTCAGGCATAGAGTGGACCCCTCGTTTCAATCCCTGGTATTGAAAAACAACAACAAACCCTGGATACAGGACCTCTGGGTTCTACCATGATACAGCAGCTTGTGTTACATCAATTTTGTTATAAAAAACATCTATCAAAATGCTTCACATCCCCAGGACAAAAACCAAACAAAGTTTCACAACATTTATAAAACAATTATTTGAAGGCACTGGAGAACAAGCCTCATCTGTTTTACCAGGGCCACTGACCAAATGACAGCATGGGGGAATTAATCCTCAAAATGGCGTCTGACAAAGCTAATAAGACAGATTAATAGAATTCAGGACTACCCAAATAGCTAGAATTTGAGAGAGAAAAATTCCAGAAATAAAGAAATTATAGACTAAAAAGAACCTCTAAATCTACCTTCAAATTCTCCTGAAGTCACTGGCTATGATTAAGATATGAGCATGTAGGATGAGGCCAGCAAAAAAAAAACAGCACTTAGGATATTCAAGAACTGAACTAAAATTTTATCAGATGCACACTGCTGGAGAAATAGGAGTTCCAGTGACTAAAAGGTCAAGAATTCTTGCACAACAACCCAGACTTTCTATTTTCTTTTGCAGTACTTGGGACTGAACTCAAGAGTACTCTACCACTAGATGACATCTCTAGCCCTAATTTTGAGATAGGGTCTCCCTGAGTTGCCTAGGCTAGCCTCGAACTTGTGATCCTCCTGCCTGTCTCCCAAGAAGTTGGGATTATAGGTGTGTGCCAACCATGCCTGACTAACCCAGATTTTCAATACTACCCAAAAGGACGACATCCTTAGAGGTAAGGACCATATGCTTGGGTAAATCAAAGCCAAAACAGATTAACTTTCATAATGCTCCAAACCATACCTTAACAGGATCAAGGTGATATGTCAGTATAGTACTCTCAAGAAAGAAGAACTTCTTTTTTTGAGGATGACATGTAATGTCTCTATAGTTTTTCATCCACCATTTCCAACATTTTATATATATATATACATACACACACACACACATATATATATGTGGCATGTGGAAAAAATAGGCAAAAAAGTAAATAAAGTAAGGAAAATAAGACAAAAGAAGACTCAAGTGATTTAGATATTTACATTATCAGACAGGAATTTAAAAAATTACTATGACTCATATATTCAACAAAACACCAGGAAAACATAAAACAGGTGAAAAGATGGGGAATTTCAATGGAAAACTATAATCTATAAAAAAGAAAGAAGTGGACTTTTAGAACTAAGAATATATGATGCCTAAAATTAAAAAGTCACTAAAATAGACTTAACAGTAACCTGGATATAGCACAATAAATACTAAACCAAAAGGTCATTAGAAAAATTCCTACTGAAACACATTGAGAACTGGGTGCAGTTGTACATTTCTGTAAACCCAGTGACTTGGGGGCTAAGTCAGGAGAATTGCAAGTTTGAGGCTAGCCTGGGCAACAAGAATACCCTGTCTCAAAGTAGGAAAGAAAAGGGGCTGAGGATATACCTAAGAAGTAGGTATATCACCCCTGATTTCAATCTCCAGTACCAAACAAACAAACAAGCAAAAAAAAAAAAAAAAAAAAAAAAAAAACCATAATGAAAGAAAAGAAATTTTTAAAAATCCAGAACAGAGCACCCAAGATATATGGTACATAGTCACACGGCCAAGAGGAATTACTCAATAAGGCAGAGCAATATTTGAAGAGATAGTGACCCAGAATTTGACAAAACAAAGGCATTAATTTGCAATTTCAAAAATTTCAATAAATCCCAGTCAGAATAAATACAAAGAAAATTATGCTATTCACTTGCCAGCGAAACTGCTGAAATCCAAAGTCAAAGAGAAAAATTAGAAAAGCTGCCAGGGAATAAAAGACAAATTACCTTTTGCTCAAAGGAGTAACAATAAGACTGACTGCTGACTAGAGATATCAGAAAAGATAACGGAATGACATTCTTGGGGGAATGAGGAGGGAAAATGTCTGCCCATCTAGAATTCTATCCTCAGCAAAAATATCCTTAAAGTATGTATGTAAAATAAAGATGTTTTCAGACAAATACAAACAAACGCTGAGAGAATTCACTGACAGCAGACCTGAACTCTAATACTAAAAACTCTTCAGACTGAAGGAAAATGATCCCAAATAGAAATGAGTAAAGGAAGAAATAAAAATCACTGAAAGTATAAATATAATTGATGAAGAATATATAGAGACTTTCAGAAGTCACTAAATTTCATTCATGTTGTAGATAGTTGTAGAAAACAAAACTAGTACAACTAGTCCTAGAAAAAAAAATCCCAATATAGAAATACAAAAGGATGCTATATTTGGTCTAAAAATAGATAGCTAAGGGCAATTTTAACTTTCTTCAGGCATATTTAGAGTTCCGATATATGTACTGACTGACATAAAGTCAACAAAGATTTATAGAGTACCTAATATGAGCTAGTATTACTGCTAGATAATGGGGATATAAATAAGGCGAAGAATTCATAGTCTAATAACAGCAACAAACTAGTTTTCTCTATACCTGCTGAAGGCAAAATAAGAGATCTTTTTAGTTCAAGGTAACAGCATATATGTTGTATACACTTACAGTGTATGTTAGTCTCATATGTATCCCAATCCATAGACATACATACGTACCACATATGAGTATACATATATACTCAAACACATAAAATCTGATGCTTATGAATAATTTGGGAACTAGACTAAGATTTTCTGTATAATTTTTAAAATAAGAAAAATGGGTTGAGGAGGTTAAGCAATGTTCTTTTAACTAGTACAAGCAGAAAAACACTGTCTTGAAGGATGTGGCTCTTTATACTCTACCCCTTACACTCTTAAGATGATTTGGGACAATTAATAGTCAATTTTGTTATTGTTTTTTTCCCCAGCTAAGTGTTACAGACTTTACTTCCACTGGAACGCAGAAAATGATGTCAATATCTGCATATTTAAATTAATCAAGAGAAAAACTAGTTAACCAAGGCTCTAATGCCTTTGGAAACAAATTCTTTTTTTTTTTTTTTGGTACCACATCCCCAGTCCTATTTTGTATTTTATTTAGAGACAGGGTCTCACTGAGTTGTTAAGGTGCCTCGCAGTTGCTGAGGCTGGCTTTGAACTCGTAATTTTCCTGTCTCAGCCTCCTAAGCCATTGAGATTACAGCACCACCTCTCCTGGCTTGCTTTTACTATTTTACATTCTATAAATATAACATTTTATTTTGAATACAGAAGCGATGTATTGTAGTCTCAATCTCAAGTGGCCATCCAGGTTCCTTAGCCATGGGGAAAAATGGATCAATCTTCATTAGATGCAAGGAAGGTTTATAATGTTATTAAATCAGAGAAAGGATAATAAAAAAAAAATCAATCCTGACCTAGATTCTCTTGGCTTATAAAAGGAACTTAAAGCTTCCCTACTTTAAATATCTACTCAAGGATGGGCCAAAATCAAAGCATTTGGTTTATACCAGAGAAAAGATACCAACATAGTATGTAAGATTTGAGGGTTCTGACCAGGCCACATTTTCCAGCAATCAAGTGCTGGCGAGGATATGGGGTAAAGGGTACACTTGTATATTGCTGGTGGGACTGCAAATTGGTGCAGCCAATTTGGAAAGCAGTATGGAGATGCCTTGGAAAGCTGGGAATGGAACCACCATTTGACCCAGCTATTCCCCTTCTTGGACTACACCCAAAAGATCTAAAAAGAGCATACTACAGGGATACAGCTACATCAATGTTCACAGCAGCACAATTCGCAATAGCTAGACTGTGGAACCAACCTAGATGCCCTTCAATAGATAAATGGATAAAAACAATGTGGCATTTATACACAATGGAATATTACTGAGCACTAAAAAATAACAAAATCATGGCATTTGCAGGGAAATGGATGGCATTAAAGCAGATTATGCTAAGTGAAGTTAGCCAATCCCTAAAAAACAAATGCCGAATGTCTTCTTTGATATAAGGGGGCGACTCAAAACAGAGCAGGGAGGAAGAGCATGAGAAGATTACCATTAAACAGGGACGAGAGGTGGGAGGGAATGGGAGAGAGAAGGGGAATTGCACGGAAGATGGAAGGAGACCCTCACTGTTATACAAAATTACATATAAGATGGTGTGAGGGGGAAGAAAAAAAAAAAGAAATGTGTTATAGTAGATGGGGTAGAGAGAGGTGATGAGAGGGGAGGGGAGGAGAGGAGGGAATAGGAAGAGCAGCAGAATACAACAGACACTAGTATGGCAGTATGTATAAATGTGGCTGTATAACCAATGTGATCCTGCAATCTGTACACATGGAAAAATAAGAATTCATACCCCATTTGAATCAAATGTATGATATGTCAAGATCATTGTAATGTTTTGAGCAACTAATAAAAAAAAAGATTCTTAAATATTTTTTTTTAAATCCTTTTTTTTTAAAAAATATTTATTTTTTAATTTTCGGCAGACACAACATCTTTATTTGTATGTGGTGCTGAGGATCAAACCCAGGCCGCACGCATGGCAGGCGAGCGCGCTACTGCTTGAGCCACATCCCCAGCCCAAGATTCTTAAATATTAAAAGTCTAAAATGTGGATGTGTTTCTCTCTTCTTGTTTCCCTTCCTTGTGACTGGATAGGAGCCATTCTACTTCACAGTTTTGCATTTAGAATTAGAGACTTAAGGCAATCACTAATTAGTTCTGGTATATATACACTATATAAGACTTTTGCTCGTCTCATGTCTGGGGGTTGAGGAATAGAGGGACTGGAAGTGAAAGTGAACAACCCTGACAACCAGCTTTAATTTGAAAGTATGTAGCTTAGATATACTAAATGTGGTCCAGGCCAACCAATCCAGTCAGAGAACAGGATGTTGTTTTAAATGATGATCCTTCTTCTTTTCTTTTGCAGTACTACAGACTGAACTCAGAGGTGCTCTACCACTGAGCTACATCTTCCCCAGGCTTTTTTATTCTTGCTAAGTTGTAGAGGCTAGCCTTGAACTTGTGGTCATCCTGCTTTGACCTCCCAAGTCACTGCGATTACAGGCATACACCACCCTTCCTGGCTACACTGATCATTCTTTTAGAATTCACCTTAAAATTCCCAAAATGCCCATGAAAAAATTAAAGCATTAAAACTCAAGATAAATGAGGTAAATATTCAAGAACTTAAGAATGCCACTACATTTTCAGTTATATTTCAACAGCTTCACCATATAATTAATTTCACTGCAATTTATTATTTAATTTTTTTTTCTCTTAGTTGTCAATGGACCTTTAATTTATTTATTTATATGCGGTGCTAAGAATCAAACCCAGTGCCTCACATATGCTAGGCAAGCATGCTACCACTGAGCCACAACCCCAGCCCCTGCAATTTATTATTATTCTATCAGAAATCAACTCCTAGTTAACAAAATAGATAACTTGCAAATCTTTCTCCCCCAAATTTACTATTTTGTTAATATCTTATAATATTGCCATACTTCGAATTTATTCTTGATAATAATTTATCTTTTGTAAGTAAATTGGTTTATATTAATTTAATTTATTTATTTTCTAGTACTAGGGATTGAACTCAGGGACATTCTACCACAAGGTACATCTCCAGCCCTTTTTATTTTTTATTTTGAGACAGGTTCTCAATAAGTTGCTGAGGCTGGCACTGTACTTGTGACCATCCTGCCTTAGCTTCCTGAGTTGCTGGGATTATAGGCATGCACAACCACATCCAGCCTATTCATGTTTTCATAAGCCTCCTTTCACAAGTGGTTGCATTGTATTTCTTAAGTCTTTATTAATTTTTTAGAACTCAACATTCTGCATTTTTGGCCTTATCGAGGAAAATTTCTTTTATCTAAAATTCTTCCCCTTGTTTGCCAGGTAAGTATTTTTTATTTTTTGTTTTTGTCTTCAGTACATGGTGTCTTTCTATTTTAAACGTTAAAATTTAAGTCTGTCATGAAAAAAAGAAAAAAAACACTGAGGTATCCAAGACACCATGGTAAATAACGATATATGATAGAAAAGAGAATATATTTTTTCACAAAAGTTGATTATTTATATAAATTAAACAAATTGGTTCAAGTGGCTTGCTTAAAAAGAAAAAAACTTTTGTTTTCCATCTTGTATTTGATACTCACTCTTTAAGGCTATCTGACCGCCTCCTATTTCTTCCCCATGAAGAACTTCTACTTCTAGTTCTCCTTTGGCTGGGGCTTCTTGATCTCCTATGATCACTTGGAGAACAAGGATGACGTTCTTTTGATTTCATTTGGCCTGGTGCTAGAATATGAAGAACAAGGCTTATAACACAATTCATTACTTGAAAACCATAGTAACAGTCACTCAACTAGTATAATTTTCTGAAAGAATTTTAAATTAAAAAATCTGTCATTGTTGAAACTCATTTTGCTGAATAAACAAGATCTAATGTTTAGTCACACTTACTTTTGCGATCACCTTGTGCAAACTGTATTTCAATTTGACGGCCACATACCCACTTTCTATTGAGGTTATAAAGAGCATCTTCAGCATCTCGAACATCTTCAAATATGACTAGCTGTTAAGGACACTTTGAACATCAGATAGCATGTGAAAATATTTTTAAGGTGTTATTTAAATGTGAAATGAAATTAATTGGAAAAATAAGTTCTAGATATTAAGCTTATCTCTCCAATATGAATAATCAGAAAAAAAAAATACTTTCACTATTTACTATGAAACAAATGCCCCATTATGATTTAGAGTGAATCCAAAGAATAGAAATGAACATGTTACTGTCCTTTTAATGTATACATTAGTTAGCTACAATATGCATTTATACTTTCAAACATTATGAGAAAAAAAATTAATCCAAAAAGGCTAGCATTATAAAATAAACTGTTTAGGACTCATTCCCTTCTTCAGATAAAGGATCCATCATATTTTCACTGAAAATATCAGCTTGCAAAAGTCTTTATTCTGAAATTAAAATTACTTTTCCATTAAAAAAGTTTTCCAATTATGACATTTGGGAAAAATTACTTATTATAAACAAAGTTGTACACATACAAGTGACCTAAAACCCTTTCAAAAATAATATCCAGGGGCTGGGGCTGTAGCTCAGTGGCAGAGCGCTTGCCTAACATGCGTGAGGCACTGGGTTCAATCCTCAGCACCACATAAAAATAAACGAATAAAATAAAGGCATTCTGTCCATCTACAACCACAAAAATAAAAAAATAATAATATCTACCTTTGAATCTACCACTTTAAATAATGCCTTATGTTTACACTACTTGGAAAATAAACAAACATACTTGGAATAGAAATAAAAGAAACATAAAAGCAATTTATAGATATCTTAAATTAAAAATGTTGGTTTGAAATAACTCACTAATCTCCCTTATCTATATAAATTATATAATTTTAAACCTAAACTATAATGAATATTAGCTATATAAAATTATTAAATAGCTGTATTTCAGGAGGTTGTTGACTAGTTTTTTGTTTTTTTAAATAGCAAACAAAATAGCTCAAGAAATACAATATAAAATGAGACTGGCAATTACCTCAAAGTCACTTGATCTTGAACCTTGACCTTTACTCTTTAAGACTTGCAAGATGGACTTTATAAGAGACGCAGAACCAACAAAATCAGACTTGGCTTTGACTCTGGAACTCTGAGTAAATGTAGGAAAGCCGAAGTCTCAAAGTTGGCTTTGTCTTTTGCTTGATAAAGACTTCCCCTCTTCCAGGTCTTTATATCTGTGTCCACCCTCCCTCTTTACTCCTTGATGCTTGAACTTTAGGTGCCTTTTGTCTCGCCTGCTCGGTTTATGCTTGGATTCTAGCTAACAGGTTGGTTCAAACTGGGGGGCGCTTGCCAGCTACTGTGGACTGCTTTAGATTTTCTGAGATAAAGAAATAAACACATTTAATTAGGCAATGTTAACATCGTAACACAGGCTCCTGAATACATATATGTATAAGCACATGTATGCAATATATTCACATGCACATATTGAAATAAAGGATATTGAACATAAGCAAATCCTCTTGGGCGGCGAGTGTAGAAGTCAAGTGGAATGTAAACGTCTACTATAGGGCCATATCGACCAAACTCACGGCGCAAGTCCTCAGGCCTGAAGTATTTTAGAAATAAGGCAAAGAAATATGAATGGCTGGATTAAAATATTTTGCCTACAGAAATCCAGTTGAAACCTTCAAAAGAAATTACATCATCTAGTCTAGCATTATCTCATACTATCTTTGTTAGAATCAGTCAAAGTTTTGAAAAGAAGAAAAAAAGATAAGGAAAAAACCAGATTCTCGGTCCTCTCTCTTAGAAGCTGATTCAGGAAGTCTGGATTAAGCACTGGGAATCTACATTTTTACAAACACCCCAAGTGGTTATGCTTAGTCAATTTTGAGAAACACTGACCCAGCATATATGCAACTTTGAAAGTCATTCCCATAATAAGGCAGTTTCATTAAGAACACATTCATTTGCCTCACTATAATTTCATGTTTATGTTAATCTTTGTTTTCAGATAGCAAGAATTAGATTCTAAGGAAGTCCTAAAATTATTTCTTAGGCTTTAAGGAAAAATGGATGTTTTACTATTAAACACAAGGCAAAATAACTACTGTATTTTCAAATTTGATGGGTTATTTCAAGTCTTTTTTATGCCTTCTACTGCAATAGTACTCAGGAGGGGATACTAAAGAAATATATAGCATATTTGTCTTCATGGAGTTACAATTTAACTGAAGAGACAAAATATTTAGCAGTAATAAGTTGACTCTTATAATGCATTTATATACAGTCACTATTCATCTGAAGACTACTAATTCTTACAACTCTATGGTTGTTTACAGATGAGGATACAGACAAATTAGTCTTCCTGTCACTGAGCCTGCAAGTGACAGAGGTGGAACCTAACTTCCACAGTCTGATACTAATCTGTATTCATTTTTTTCTCTCTCTCTTCATTCATTCAGGTGCTTGGGATTGAACCCTGAAGTGCCACATCATCAGCCCTTTTTATTTTATTTTGAGACAGGATTTCACTAAGTTGTTTAGGGCCTTGCTAAATTTTGGAGGCTGGTCTTGAACTTGCAATCCTTCTGCCTCAGCCTCCTGGGATTACAAGCATAAGGACGACATCCCACTACTAGTCTGTGTTCTTAACCACTACACCATATTGCCTCATGGAGATCATAGGGATTCAGCATCAAGCATTGAGCATAAAGCATGACTCAGAAGAAATATATCGTATAACTTCTAGTTTGGGCAAAAGGAAGAGATATGTTGTCAACAACAAAAAATAGATGGTTGGAAAAGACACCTAGAATAAAGAAGAAGAGACAAGCAAAAGAAGCAGCTTTCAGGTTTAGAAATGCAGAATTTAGGATGATAATGGAACATTCATTAAGAGTTTTGTAAGTAACTAAAAATTGTGATTATAGAGATTCTATTATTTTCTCCAAAACTAGAAGACAAGTCAGTGATTAAGGCTAGATATTGGAGTTCAGGAGTTAATACATAAAGATTCAACTAACAGTGACTAAGTATCCACTATATACTAGGCAGCCAATATTATGACATACTGCATTTAACATTTACAGTAAAAGGTTTGTCTTCCCTGATAGACTATTAGTTTTAAAGGACAGTGGCAATGTCTTTTTTTTTCACTAATTCATTCAACAAGTACTTATTGAGCACCTATTATGTGCCAGGCTCCAGGAATATGGTAGGGAACAAGAAAAACACAATTCCTATGCCCACAGAACAAACAATGGGAATAAAGAATCTCAATCCTTCTGAATACTGGAATCATTTAATAAGGGGATGTTAAGGAAACAGCTACCCCAGCCTGATGCATTAACTCTGAACCTAATTAGTGTTTCCCATAGTGAGGCACAGTTAATGTTTAATTTTTAAAGACTTTCTTAGGCAATTCTAAAACAGAAAGTTGGGAATCATTGATAAAGCAGGTGTCTTCACCAGTGTACTTCTGGTGTTTAGTTGATGGACACACAGTAAAACACTTAATATATAGTTGTTTATTAATGAGCAAAGAACACAACTATTATTATCATTTAAGGGTAAATGAGACTTAGGATAACCGAAGTTACATTACCCAGACCAGTACAACCAGTAACAAAGCTAGAATTTAAATGAAGCTCTTCTAAGCACCTAATCTCATCAACCAAATGTGGGTAGGTAACAGGAAAGGGATTCTAGGGGCTGGGGCTCAGCGGTAGAGTACTCGACTAGTGAGGCGCTGGGTTCGATCCTCAGTACCACATAAAAATAAAGATATTGTGTCCAACTACAACTAAAAAAAATTTTTTTTTTTTTTTTAAAAAGGAAAGGGATTCTAAGTAACTTAAAGAAAAAGGCTGGGCTGGGGATGTGGCTCAAGCAGTAGCGTGCTCGCCTGGCACGCGTGCGGCCGGGTTCGATCCTCAGCACCACATACAAACAAAGATGTTGTGTCTGCCGAAAACTAAAAAATAAATATTAAAAAAAAAAAAAAAGAAAGAAAAAGGCTAGAGGGCTAGGGTTGAGGCTCAGTGGTGGCTCAGTGGTGGAGCGCTCACCTAGCACGGGTGAGGCACTGGGTTTGATGCTCAGCACCACATAAAAATAAATAAAAATAAAGGCATTGTGTCCACCTACAACTAAAAATAAAATAAAATAAAAAATAAATAATAAATAAAAAGCTGGAGCTATATGTGTCACAGAGGCTTAGAATCCTTAAAGCCAAGGGTCAGAGTCTAAAGGAACAGATACCCTCAAAAACAAAACAGGACTGGAGATGCAGTTTAGTGGTAGAGCACTTACCTAGCATTCATGAGGCCCTGATTTAATTCCCATTCATTGTCTCCACTCCCTCACTTGTTGGCTATAGTTTTATCATTATTTTTGCATTTATGGTGTAATTTAGTTCAGCATACTTAGAATTTAGAATTTACTTCAACATTTAGAACTACATATATTATCGAGGAGTAGCATTCTATACATTATAGAGGCATTTAACAGAATTTTTGGTGTGATTTACTTCATATTTACAATTATACACATTATAGAGGATTAGAATTATATACATTTGGAGGAATTTACTGCAAAATATTTATAATTATATACATTATAGAGGATAAAACAAGTACCCAGGTATCCATCAAGATTTATTTTATCTAAATACTTGCCACATTTGCCATAATTTTCAGTATTTTTTGTATTTATATTGCAGTGTTGAGGATCAAACCCAGGGCTTTGTGAATGCTAAGCAAATGCTCTAGCATTGAGCTATCTCTCCAGCCATGTGTGTATGCTTGTGTACTTATATACTTTTTTCTTTTTTTAGAAATCAGACATTCTACCCTTCTATTTTAGAAATAGTCACTGATGTTCCTCATTCTCCTGAATAACTATATTTTTACTACAAATGTTTTTATCCATAAATGTTTATATATATTCATGTTAAATGTTGTACAGAAGTTGGACTTGGTGGCACACGCTGTAATCCCAGTGGCTACAGAGGCTGAGGCAGGAGGATTACAAGTTCCAGGCCTGCCTCACCAATTTAGCAAGGTCCTAAGCAACTTCGAGAGACCCTGTCTCAAAATAAAAACCAAAAAGGACTGGGGATGTGGCTCAGTAGTAAAATTCCTCTGGGTTCAATCCCCAGTACCAAAAAAAAGTCAGTCTTGTTTTAAATCTTGTATAAATGGTACCAGATTATTTGTCTTGCCTTTGTTCCCCTTGAGATTTTTCCATGTTGCTTTAGTTCATTCATTTAAACTCTTTATGATACTGTTATGAATAAAAACAACTCAGCCACCCCAATTTAATCACCCATTGTTCTGTGGATGAACATTTAAAATGCTTCATTAAAAAATCCGCCCCCCCCCCCCCCCAGTATTGGAGATGGAACTCAGGACCTTACACATGCTAGGCCTGAGCTACATCCACAGTGCTCCTCCCATCTTTTTTTATAATTTTGAGACAAGGTCTCACCAAGGTGCCCAGGCTGGCTTCTTCTTCTTATTATTTTTTTTTGGTACCGGGAATTTAGCTCAAGGGCACCCAACCAGTAAGCCACACCCCCAACCCTATTTTTAATTTTTTGGTGTGTATGTGTGTGTGAGTGGTGCTGGGGATTGAAACCAGGGCCTCATGCAAGCGAGGCAAGCATGCTACCAACTGGGCTATATCCCCAGCCCACCTTATTTTATATTTAATGACAGGGTCTCATTGAGTTGCTCAGTGCCTAGCTTTTGCTGAGGCTGGCTTTAAACTGTAGATCCTCCTGCCTCAGCCTCTCGAGCCACTGGAATTACAGGCATGGACCATGGCACCTGGCCAGGCTGGTTTCTTGCAATCCTCTAGTTTCAGCCTTTCAGTTAGTTGAGAATACAGGAATGTGACACCATGCCCGACTAAAAAAATGTTTAATTGTAAACTGTGCTTCCTAGGTTTTGCTAAAATTTTCAGGTATGCATCACTAGCAAAGGAATTGGTAAGTTGGATAGTATGCCCTTCTTCAGCTTCACTACTCCAAAGTGAGTAAACCAATTTATACTCACCTAAGACATGTATTAGAATTCCCCTTGTGTCCACTTTTTCATTAATACCTTTTAATCCCTGCCATCCTGAAGGATATGGAGTAAATGGGTATCTCATCATTTTTATTATTATTTTTTTTTGAGACAGGTTCTCACTACATTGTCAAGGCTGGCCTTGAACTCACTCTTGGGCTCAAGTAATATTCCTGCCTCAGCCTCCTAGACAGCTGGAAGTACAGGCAAGTACTACCACACCCAGCTTTTTTTTTTTTTTTTTTTTTTTTTTTTTTTTGGTATCAGGGATTGAATTCAGGGGCACTCAACCACTGAAACACAT